GGAGCAATCCCCAGGATGCTTTTCTGAGCAAGGGGAGCAGAAGTTCTGAATTTTGGGCTCTGAGCATAGCAAGCTGCATAGAATAACATGGTTTCATTGTAAAAATAGTGGGGCATTATCTTAAGCATGAGATGAAAATTACTGTAGTTCCAGAGTTAACCAGCGCAGCATGAAGGACAGGTCATGTGCTCTACTAGTAAACGATCATGGCAATTAAAGGCTGCACTATAGCATTTGGAATAACTTGTCCATGCTTTTAGCTTTATGTCTGGAGATTTAGAAGTTGTAGCAAAATTTGTGATGTCTTCCTGCAGTCTGTATTTTTGGAAAATAAAGTCAAGCATTGCCCTGATACCTCAGTTTGTGAGTTTGGGCTGCCACCCCTTAATTTGGCAGGTTGAAGCAAGGCAGAAAGATGTCTTAGCAGCATGTTCTAATTTTGGCACCCACCCCAGGTTCCATGTAACGGAAAAGCTGCCGATCGCATCCACCAGGACGGCATACACATCCTTATTAACATGAACGGCTACACCAAGGGAGCCCGTAATGAGCTCTTTGCCCTCAGGCCAGCGCCAATCCAGGTAATGGAGATGTCCTGGAAGTCACACCTGATGCAGGCTTCCTTCTGTGAAAATTCCCTTCTTTCTCCCTACTTCCTTCAGACCTTATTTTGTACAAATAGTAGGTGAATTTTGCCCATGTTGTTACAAAGGAGTAGCCAAACTTAAGGTGCATGGTAAAAGCAGTTTGTCCCACCTTGGTTGGTTCACAGGTGAATGGCCCAAATCTCACTTATGTCATAAATACCATGTTTCACATTCTTCAGATCCTCCTGCTTGCAGTACAGAGGTCTTTCTCGCCAGTAGTAATCTTATTATCTAATGCATTTACATATTAAATATTATATGTAAATACATTACATAATCATTTAATGTATTTAAAACTATCATTAAAACTGGTTCCTTGGTTTTATTTTTTAAAAAATCATGTCCTTAGCTGTCCACTAAGTACATGAAGTAGTAATCATCCTGCGTTGTCTCTTCTGGAATTTTGTGAGAGGGGTTTTCCTGGCTGGTTGTGACAATTGCTGTCTTGTTACTTTTGTGAATGCAAGTTGATGTGTTCTTTCAAGACACTGTTAGGTTTTTGTGGTGACCTTGACGTGAGATGTGTTTCATCTTCCCTTCTATCTAGGCTATGTGGCTGGGCTATCCTGGCACTAGTGGGGCATTATTCATGGATTATATCATCACGGACAAAGAAACATCACCCATAGAAGTTGCTGAACAGTACTCTGAAAAGCTGGCTTACATGCCAAATACATTCTTCATTGGAGATCATGCTAACATGTTCCCACACTTGAAGGTACTCAGTGAGCAAGGCTAGGATCAATGCTTTGTTTCATTCTCTCAGTTTTTTCTCTGAACTTAAACATTAAGAAAACATTAAAACCCATATTCCAGCGTTCTCAAATTAAAGCCTTTCTTTTCTTTCAGAAAAAAGCCGTTATTGACTTCAAATCGAATGGGCATATTTACGATAACAGAATTGTTCTGAATGGCATTGATCTGAAGGCCTTCCTTGACAGCCTACCTGATGTAAAAATAGTGAAGGTGAGACCATTTCAGCAACGTGTATAGCATAGCACGAATATGCAGACAACTAAATGGCATTTTGCAGAAGATTGCAAATGGGGAAATGAAAACGCTGACCTATTCTGGAAAGGGAGGGGTAGGGAATATACAAAGCGATATGTTAACTGTATTTCTGTATGTAATTGGCTAGACTTTAGCATTCGCTGCTTCCTCTTTCTGAAGGAATGCCTTTAGATAAACAGCGTTTACTTGTCTTGGCTTCCAGATGAAATGTCCTGATGGAGGAGACAACGCAGACAGCAGTGCTGGTCTCAGCATGCCTGTCATCCCCATGAATACCATTGCAGAAGCTGTGATTGATATGATAAATCGTGGACAAATTCAGATAACAATAAATGGATTCAACATTAGCAATGGATTAGCCACTACCCAGGTGAGAAACTGTGTGTCCTGGCTCCTTATTTGGAATTCTGGAGTTCATGCAGTTGAGGGTCTTGGTTGTTGAAGGAGGAAGAGGAAGAGGGAGCTGACCTTGTGGAAAGCAGTAGAATGGGAAGAAGGAAGGCCTGTGGGCAGAAGGCCACAGTTGCTGCTCAGCAGCTCCTGAGGCCCTGTTAACTCAATTTTACTCATTTCATTTAGATTAACAATAAAGCTGCAACTGGTGAGGAGGTTCCACGCACCATCATTGTCACCACTCGATCCCAATACGGACTGCCTGAAGATTCAGTTGTATATTGTAACTTCAATCAGCTTTATAAGATTGACCCTTCCACTCTACAAATGTGGGCTAATGTGAGTAATTAGATATGGATTTTCTGGGTTGTTTTTGAAACACGGACTTGAGGATGGAGTTTTGTCTAGGTTATGTTGTATGTGCTTGCTAATCCTTCGGGTTCGAAGAAGACACGCCATTATGCAATTCATCTATGGACACAGGTGGCTCTGCAGTCCCAGTCTGGAAGTGCAGCATCTAGCACGAGGGGGGCACTGGAAGTCCATTGTTGGAGTAACTCTGGGTGCTATTCTGTGACGCTGCTCATGGTTTTCTGTCACTTTTTGGTGGCGCCTGTCTTCAAAGCCGGTGGAGGCTTCCTAGGAAGGGCTCGCCAGCGGGTTCTGTCAGCAGCCGCAGCTTCTGATTCCCTCGGCTGGATGTCACAGTGGCGTAGGGTTTCTTTCGCAACATCTTTGTAGTGCTTGCATGGTTGACCTTGAGGTCTCTTCCCAGACTCCAGTACGCTATGGAGCAACTGGCAAGGCATATGGTGGTCATCCATTCTGATGACGTGTCCTACCCCACCACATCTGGGCTCTGATAATCAGGGACTCAGTGCTGGTGGACTCTGTGCGATCCAAGATCTCCAAATTGGAGACACAGTCTTGCCAATGTACGGAGTCCAGGACTCTCTTCCATGTGGGAGAGAAGGGGTAACCACATCTCTGGCCTGATCCTGGAGTCAATTTGTGTGTCCAAAGACCCATCACTCGAGATGATGCTTCCCAAGTATTTGAAGCTGTTTACATTTGTCAGCTGGGTGTCGTCAACAGTGATTCTTGGTTCTGCCTAGGAATGCCTAAAACCTCTCATTTTGTCTTTTCTGCATTTAGATCCTGAAGCGTGTTCCAAACAGCGTTTTATGGCTGTTGCGTTTCCCAGCCGTGGGGGAGCCAAATATTCAGCAGTATGCTCAAAACATGGGCCTTCCCCAGAACCGCATCATCTTCTCTCCAGTTGCTCCCAAAGAAGAACATGTGAGGAGGGGCCAACTTGCTGATGTCTGCCTTGACACCCCCCTTTGTAATGGCCACACTACAGGGATGGATGTGCTCTGGGCTGGGACTCCAATGGTCACAATGCCAGGTAAGACGGAACATAGTTGTGAAGTTGGAGGGGGCTCTGCTTGTTCAGCCCCTTCCTTAGTCCGTCAAGAAAGCAGCCTGTGCTTGAAGTGTGAGCTTCTTACGTTCTGCCACCAGGAGAGACACTCGCATCCCGTGTTGCTGCCTCCCAGCTGACTTGCCTTGGCTGTCCTGAACTCATTGCAAAGAGTCGGCAGGAATATGAAGACATTGCAGTGAAACTGGGAACTGATCTAGAATAGTAAGGATATGTCTGAGGGGAGTGGGAACATGGTTGTGGATTAAGTCCTGAAGGACAGCATGTTCCTTCAAAGAGGGATGGGAATGGTGATGTTATCAGGTCAGACCGTTCCTGAAGGATGGCTTAGCCTGGGCCAAGTACATGGAAACATGAGAAAAAGTGAGCTTCTGAAGGCTGGGTGGTGCGTTTCTAATCACTGGGGGTTTATTCTCCCTCCTGTAGCCTGAAGAAAATACGCGGCAAGGTCTGGAAGCAGAGAATATCCAGCCCCCTGTTCAATACAAAGCAGTACACGATGGAGTTGGAGCGGCTGTATCTTCAGATGTGGGAGCACTGTGCGGCTGGCAACAAGCCGGAACACATCATCAATTCCCTTGAGAGTGGCGAATCTGCCTAAAGCAACTGGCACGTGGAAAGCGATCAGGAGGGCTCCTGAGCAGAGGCCACGAATAGGGAGCTGAGGACTTCACCTCTGCTTCATCTGCCTGGTACTTGTAGCAGAAATGATCTATGGTTGAAACTGGAGAGTGCAGCTGGACTTACCTCCTGCATGATGGGGAGATGTGGAACATTTTGTCCTGTGTAAAGCATTTGCCGCTGAGCTCTGTTGGGCCCCGATGTGTGTCTCCGGGCTGGGCTTTACGAGGAAAGGTGTAAAATGGCCAGGCAGCTGTGATTTCATGGATCGATTCAGTTTTCCTAGGAGTTAGATCTTTCTCTTCCTTTGTGGACTGGAATTGGAGCTTTTTTAAAGAGTGGTTTTCGGGTATTCCTGTTGGTACATGTGTGGGTCTGACAAGATTTCCAGCTAGTTTGAGTTGCTCCTCCCCAAGAGTATCTCTGCTGGTGAAGCTTTTTTATGGGTTTTATAAACCACTTGAGCCAACATCAGCCTCCTTAATGTTTGCCACGTCCCCTGGGCTTTGTGTGCTATAGACTCCGATGAGGGCTTTTTTTAAAAGCCTCATCTGACAATTAACTTCAGAATGGCACACTTCTCTGTAGAAAAGATAAATTGAATTTAAAATGTAGTCTCCCCATCTTTCCTTGAAATATGTGGAGAAAACCCAACCTGGTGCCAAATGCCTGTTCCTGCAGGAAAAATAATTATGTACGGAGTTGCAGGCGTAGCCACTGTAGCAAAGACTTTAAAAAATAAAGCTCTGGTTTGACCAGGTTGGCCCATGGACAGGTGTTTCGCCCTTCCTCGACAAAGCAATTATGTGCAGGGCGGCTGACCTCTTGACCTGCCTTTGTAGGCTCTCTTACTAAATGAAGCTCTTCTGTTGACTTCAGCAGAAATGCAATCCCAGGTAAGTATGGATTTTCTTTTCAGCGTCTGCCTCCCGTCTGAAAGGGCTTCTCACGGCCCGTGGAGCGTACAGAGGTTGAAAGGCAGAACAACAACAACAACAACAACAACTCGTCCCCCTCCCCCTCCCCCTGAGGCGCCCCCAGATGAATTGTAGCCCCTCCTTTGGATGCAGTTACCTTCTGAATAGGCAGGAAGAAGGGACTCGTCCGACTTCTATCTGCTTTGTGCCTGCAAATTAACAGTAGTGTCAATGGCCCGATAGTGCTGCGCGCAGGTACTTGATAGTCCCCTACGTGGGGCTGGTAGAGCCTAACCTTAGCCCCACGAGTCGATGCTTCAGTGTGGGGCCGTTGGTCTCTGCCGGGCCGGAGCCAGTGGGGGGGCGTCCCCCTGCGGCACCAGCGTGCCACTCCGTGGGGGGCGGGGCCCGCCAAGCCCCACCTTGCGCTAGGAGGGCGGAGGTGGGTGCGTGTCCCTGGAGTGAGTGTGCGGTGTTGTGCGGCCGGACAGAGTAACCGCTGTGTAGCGCGAGGGGAGAAGAGCTGTTTGTACTCCGCTTGCTGCTGTACCAGCTTTTGTTTTCAGATGAGTGTCTGATAAATACAGATGAAATAAACCACTGGCCGCGTCTCCTGCCTTTCTTTTCTCGGCGCCACCCGGGGGGGTTGTGGA